CCACTGAATATTGATCGAGAGCAATATAAAAATCCTTGAATAATGATGTCAGGTGGTGCATGCAGTACAAATAAAAGGGAAAATTAATCTGGAAGTCCTTATAGTTCCAGTGAGTTTTGAATTAGGTCCTTGAGGTTTTTTTTCTTTCTTTTTTATTAGATCCTTTAACATTTTAATGTTATATTTATTAGTCCTTCTGTTAAAAAAAATAAACACCATTAGAAATCTGCAATTGACTCCTAAAATATTCTTCTCCTTTTCTCTCTTTTGGCCATAACCCAGACCATGCTCTCATCCCTCTTTTGTTCATTCCTGGACACATTTCTCTTCTTCGTCGTTCTCCTGACTTCACCATTCCTTCCCACCTTTCCATAACACCTTCCCTAAGGCGTCACAAGAATAAAGTACTGTATATAAAAGAATGAAGCCATTTGTCTCTGCTCATTCACGGATTGTTCCTTGTGAGTGGGTAACATGTTATAGGAGACTTGTTTTCTTTTTACCAAGTTGTAGATGATTGTGTTGATTTGCTTTTTATCTTTTTCATGTTTTTGCAATAGCAATGGATGCATGTTTAATCTTTAATGTGATTGTTTCAATTTCAACTTTGCTTTGAATAGAAAGCTATTGTATGCTGAATTTGATGCTCTTGGTTTAATAGAATATATTGTTAGTTTCAGAAAGACTTAGCAAATATCAATATTTGTAGAACCCAGCTCTCACAAAAAGCTTCCCAACCATATTCCTCTACCGCCATAACCAAAACCACAGACGCCGGAGATTTAGTCTTTTGATATCACCACTAATATGGTATTTAATTATTTGTTTTCCTTCTATGCTTTGTAGGTTACCAATATATTTGCATTTATGAAAAGTAATTTATTGATATATATATTTTTTAGGTGTGGAATCCTTGATGACAATGGAAGAATGGGGAGTCCACCAACAAGCAGTACTGTCCAAATATCCAAACACTGTGGCTTTGGCGGTTCAGCTTCTCAGATAACATTGTCCCTGCTGATGACACCGACGGGAACGAATGGCGAGGTAGGGAGAATGGTGGGAAAGAAAAGGATGCTGACGAGAGCATGGTTTGGGAGAGCAAAAGAGAAGAATGCTTCAAGCATCAACTGCAGAATGGCGTTTATTTTATTTAACAGAAGGCCTGATAAATATATAACATCAAAAAGTTAAAGGACCCAATAAAAAAAAAAACTTAAGGACCTAATTCAAAATAGATTAATTTTTCCCAGATAAAAAAGATTTTTTTTGGCCCGTTGGACATTGTGGGCCCATTTAGGAAACAACACAAAAATTGTAAAAGAATGACACCAAGTTAAAAAGACAATTCTTTTTTTTAAATTTTGCAAATAGTTATCTATTACATTTTTTAGATATTGAGATAAAAACTTAATTAATTTAATTAAAAAAAAGAAAATTAATTAAAAATAGGTTTAATTCTTTTAATAGATACCTACATTAAACGTGTTTATAAATGTTTGTAAAAAATATAATATATTATTAGAATCATTTTTAGGTAAATATATTTTTATCCTATTTTTGAATTATTGTCATTGCTTCAGCAAAGTTAACAGTAGGGCAGACGGGTCTGGGACCTTCTTTCCTTTCATAGGCTGGAGCAAACCTTGTTTTTACATAGCTATGCCCTTTAGTTGCATGTTCAACGTTCAACCTATGTAGGATCGCAATCTCCTGCGAAGTCGGTGCCCGTAGTGACATCCTAAGTCGGCTACCTCTCCCACTCATCAAGGCATACCAGACTATTGCCAAGGGAGATCGGCGGAGTTCTCTATGCCCCTTAAGGCCGGTTTAACAGAATTTTTACCGGCCGGTTTGCTTTTTCACCTGGTAAGCCATGGCACTTGACCAAACAGGTGACCTGTTCACAATCGAACCATTTGGTCCGATCTGATTCTAATAATATGATCTAAAATATCGAGGTTTCATTTATTGTTTGTTAATTTTGGAATTTTCAGTTTTTTTTCCAAAACTTTTTTAGTAATTTGATTCTTTATATACAAGTTCAATTCAATTAGAATAAGGATTCATTTGGCATGTACGTAGTAAAATATAATGAAAATATATGCAATTAATCATGCTATGCTTGGCTCGTGTAGAATATATATATGAAGTAGAAAAATGAGTTGTATATACTACCTCCGGTCCTTAATATAAGATTTTATTTGATTTTTATTTTGGTTATAAATATAAAACCCTAGTCTATTTTGCCTCTCATATTTATGTATTTTTTTCCAAGATAATCCTTCTAACAATGGTAATTATAGTCAATATACTTAATTAGCAAGGATATTTTAGGAAAGACAATACCTATTTATTACAAATAACTAACTTAACTTTTTTTTTAATTCTCTCAACTTAGTCAATTAGCTTTTATAATTAGAATCAGAAGTAGTATATTACTTGTCATTATATATGAATAATATAATTTATTGTAGATGTCATATGCGTTTTTATTCACTTTGACTTTGAGCTTCTTTTTTTTTATTATTAATGAATAATGGGGATAGGGAAGAGACAAGTATGAACATGGATGGGACAACATTCAATATGAAGTGATGTCAACTGATCAAATTTACATAATGAAAAGCTATTCAGATGGTACATTCACTGAAGGGAAATTGATCCCTTTTGGGACTATTGAGATCAGTCCCAATTCTTCAATCTTAAATTATGGACAAGTAAGTTCTTAATTATCTTGTAATAGTATATTGATTTCTAGTTTAATCCAGACGAAAAATTAGTTAGAAATTATATTAAGAAGGGTTTTTTTTTACAAAAAAAAAAAAGCATTGTTTTGGTGTTTTTATATGTTAAAAGGAACACGAATATACAATCACATTGGTAGTATTGCTATCTTAAACCCAACAATACTCGAATTTGATCGCACAAGTAGCATCATATACTACTTCTGATATTAAATATAAGATCCTGTTTGACTTTTATTTTAGTCCTAAATATAAGACCCTAATCCACTTTGTCTCTCATATTTATATATATATTTTTTTAAAATAGCCCTTCTAATAATGATAGTTCTAGTCAATACACTTGATTAGTAAGGATATTTTAGGAAAGACGACATCTATTTAGAACAAATAACTAACTCAACTTACTTCCTTAGTCTCCTCAAACTAGTTAACTGGTTCTTATAATTAAGACAGGAGGTAGTATCAAATAATTATGTCAATATATGCTTCTTATACGCAGATTTATGTCTTACATTAATTTCAGATGCCTCCTTATGGAAAAGGATCATTGTACATTAGGCCTCTGTTATTTGGAAGTGGATCAGTTATGAGTCTTTCACCTGCACCAGAAACCACCTTCTTAATAGACACTAATCCAATTGGCAATAAATATAAGGTGAGATTTATTATCTCCAATAATGATTCGATAAACTTTAATTTGATTTAATTAATTATAAACATTGGTTTCATTTGTTAAGATGATGAAGCTTTAATAAGAACATTGTTACTTATGTTTTTTTCCTTTGTATTGGGTATATGAACTAATATTTATAATTGAGCAAACTGAAAGAACTCAATGAAAAAATCACAGAGAAATGATTAAAAATTAGTTAAAATTATAAAGACTGACAAATTAATTTTTTTTAGATTTTTTTAGTATTGATTACTTCCTTTGTATTAATGTATTTTCATGTATGGAACAGGGACTCGCTGGTGATATGTATTTGTTAATTGAAGATAAAGTTGCTCGTGCTATAAGTAATATCATCATAGGACTATAAGTAGCTAAGATTAGATCTAGTATTAAATATAATTTAAATTAAAAAAATAAAGTAGTTTTTAATTTTGTTAACCACAAGTAAAAACACACATCCCACATGTTTGTACTTGTGACCTCAGCTAGATATTGCCTCTCCTTTGTGTCTTGTCATCTTGTCATCTAGTCAAATTTTTCTGTAATGAGTTTCACACAGAAAAATCTCATAACAATTTTGAGATTGAGTTTTTTTCATTTAGACTTTGCCCGTGACATTAGTTTTTTTGAGGTTTGGCTATGTGTCTTAGAGGAGCACTTAACTGTGGAGACTAAAACTTGATGCTTTATGATCAGCATGATTTTTCAACAGATTTAATATATCATATTAAATACTGGTGTTGATAATAAATGAACTAAAGTGCAAATTTTTTTCCAAAAGTTTTCATTGAGTACCTAGAAGTTTTTTTTTTTTTTTTTTTTGCATAAAGTTGCCCAATAAGTTTAAAATTGTAACAATAATACTTTATACTATTAAAAATATTAAAGGTCAATGTTACTATTTGAATAGTCAATATTAATTTTTTAACGATAGAAATAATATTACCATGATTTAAATTTCTAAAACAAATTTACATCCAAAAAAGTTTTCAATGTTTGACGCTCCTGAGTAAAAATTTTTAGAATAAATTTATGCCTTAACCTGTGATAAAGAGTTAGCTGGATAACTAATTCCCAAGTTTTACAGCAACCAACCCAATGACATGTAAATTTCTTGTAAGCGGCAGCCGAAGGCAGCCACTTGGTTCTGCTTATCCTCATCATTTGAACTTTTGATAGGAAAAAAAAAAAAAAAAGACACCGGAGCAATTAAGCTATGATCTGTTAAATTTTACTTTCATTTTTAATATAAAAATTAGTTAATTAATTTGAATAGATTAAAAATTTGATTAAATTAATTATTTGTTATAAATAAATTATATTTTTTAAATTATTGTTACTAATATATGTATTAACTAGAACTATTATTTAATAAAATCTTTAACATATATAATTATTTTAAAAGTTATTTTAAAAAAAGATTCGAAAGAAAAATAAATCGGTCTTTTATATCTAAGAACAAATAAAAAATTAAAATGGCTGGTCAAAAAAATTAAAAATTAAAAATTAAAATGAGTGTTATATAGGCAGTAATAATACCACGGCCTGCAGCTTGTTTTTCTTTCTTTATAGTTCTCGACGCCTTGTGTTACTCAGACCAGCCTTGTGTTCTGCCACTGAAGTTAAACCCAAAAATGGCGATCACCTTGCAGACTCCACCCTGTGCTTCTCTGGCAGCTTCATCATGCAATCAGGTATTTTCTTCCACTCTTTCTTTCAATTTTCTTCATTCCTTAGCTCCTTCTCATTGTGATTTTTTTCTGGATTTAACTTCAGCGACGATCTAGATTTTCAGCTGCTGCCACTCCTCCTCTACTCTTCAAATCTCACAGACTCTTCACTCAAACCCGTGCCTCCGCTGGATCCTCTTCCTCTGTCGACGCCGGTAATTGTGATGTTTATCTTCTTGTTCTATTTCTCTTCCTCTCTCGTTTTATTTCATTTGCTTAGTATGATATGAATGCCAAGTGAATTTCGCTTTCAGGTCTGATCACTGAATTGGATGCTGTGTCAGGCTTCAGTGAGATAGTTCCTGACACTGTCATTTTTGATGACTTCGAAAGGTAGATTTGTTTTTCCATCTCGTTTCCCTCCTCCTCCTTGGTTGATAACAATGGAATGCAGAGGCGTGTTTATTCAGATCACTTGTGTTTGATTGGGTTGTTTTTTACTGATGAATTCACATAAAGGTTCCCCCCTACGGCTGCTACAGTCAGTTCATCGCTTCTACTTGGTATATGTGGCTTACCAGACACAATATTTAGGGTCAGCTTCTTATCCTTTAAAAGGAGTCAGATTTGAGAATGTTACAGCCGCACTTTGGTCTGATTGATTCAATCATCTTTTTCGCAGAATGCTGTGGATATGGCTTTGGCAGATTCTGAGTGTTCCGGGCTTGCTAGTTCTGACGCAAGATGGCCTTGTTTCTTTAACAAGGTATTTTTCACCATCGTCGCTCACTTGCTACAATTTAGTTTTACTAATTAATTACTTATTTATTTTCAGAAGACCTTGATATTTGAACAATTTGCTATCGCATTTCCGCTGGTAAAAATCTCAAGGAAATGGTCTTGCATTTGTAGGCTTTAGTGAATGTTGGGGGTGATCTGGCAAAACTAGTCCCTGGTCGCGTTTCCACTGAAGTGGATGCACGTCTTGCTTATGACACCCATGGCATCATCAGGAAGGTAATGAATTGATTGTATTTCTTTACAGATGCATATACTCGTCTATCAGTGCATTAAGGAGAAATAATTACAGGTGAGAAATATAACATCAAAAGTTTGATCTCACTGCTTCTCGAACTCGATTAAATTATTTATAATTATAATGTTGAAGGCGATAGGGGATTTATTGCCTTCTTTCTGCCGTGCCAAATCTAAGTTCTTGAAAAACAGATGTAACTGTGAGAGGTCCTCCCTATCCATGACTAGGTGCCATAGTATTTCGGACGTATATAATGCTGGTATTTTGGGCATGACAACACAAGAAATTATGCATAGATGTCCGGCTTTCCTTGATAATGAGCATTGTGGCATGTGGGCAATGCCAATATTCAAGAGAGAAGTACTATTTCTTTTTTAAATTATGTATACACAAGTTTTTAAACAGTCTATGACTCTCGGATCAGCTTAGATGATGAAACAAAAGTCCTTCGTTTTATGACTTCTGAATTTCAACACAGAACTGTGGAATTTTCACTTTCATAACGGTTATTGTTTTGTGTCATGCTGCAATTTAACGCTACTGATTATCAAATTATGCAGGTGCACGACCTTTTGAAGTTGTACAATGATATTAATGTTCCTCCTCAACGCCTGTTGTTTAAAATTCCTTCAACCTGGCAAGTGAGTGATAATGCAAATTGGATTTGTTATGATGCCTTGCGGATAAACTTCATGTGCTATTGGATTTATGGTCTATTTGTATATTTATTTACGTTTCATTTTTAGGGAATAGAGGCTGCAAAGTTGCTTGAATCTGAGGGCATACAAACACATTTGACTTTTGTTTACAGGTAATTCCAAGAGTGGTCATAGAAACCTCTTGAGGATCATAAATGATAATTCCATTCACATTCTCTCAGCAACATGAGACTGATTTAGAGAGATGTGATATCGTTGCTTTTCAAAGAAATGATTATTCCGGACTAGTTTTCAATTGGTTGAAGGTTCTTCTGGGTGACACGGAAAGCAACCCTAAACCTATTATTCACGAATGAAACAAAATGGTCCTTGCAGAATGAAATCTAGAGGATGCAAATTGAAACAAAGCACCAACAAAATTGCTTCACAACATCAAACTATGCCATTTTTCCTTGTTGTTTCATTTGTTTAGCCAAAGGCTGTTGCTTTCCCTTCTCCCAGTATTTGCAGGTGGGGTAAAATGCCTTGGCAGAGCCTAAGCTGATTTGAAATGGTTGTATTGTATACGAGTGCACTGACTTCGTTTTTTCAGACTAGATTCTAATGTCAGCTTTATAGGACGGCATCATGCTCTTTAATTAGACATTTCATGATTATTTGTTTTGTTTTCTGATGGTACAAGAAGCACTTAGTTTGACAAAAATCATAGTTTGAGTATCGATATGGGAATTTTCCTCTGGCTCTTTTCCACAGCTACTAGTTAGTATATATTATCTAGCATTTTTCCAAGTTGATCCAAGAAATTTTATCTCCCACATACCTAGTCATTTGATAAAATCTGCTTTTTTTCAGTTTTGCCCAAGCTGCTGCTGCAGCCCAAGCTGGTGCTTCTGTTATCCAAATTTTTGTTGGTCGCCTTAGGGTAACTTCTACCTTCAGTGAATGAGAACAACATTTGCAGATCTTTGCTTTACATTCTTTTTAATAATGTTATCTTTCAGGATTGGGCACGGAATCATTCAGGAGACCGAGAGATAGAATCTGCCCTAGCAAGAGGAGAAGATCCTGGTTTGGCATTGGTTAGTCATGCGAAATTGATGTTATGCTTTAGCTCTGCTTCAATTTTTTTTTTTTTTTTTGGGGGTGTAAAATCACATCTATGATGTTTGGGAACTCTTAGAAGTAAAGCCTATACTATATCTGTGACATCTAAGTGAAAGTCAGCTACTTTAGTATGACTTGTTGGGATCTTCTTGGTTTACTCAACTCCAGTTATAAGAGTCCGAGAGTAAAAGTAGTAATGACATTCTCTTAGCATTATTATTATTGCAGGTGACAAAGGCTTACAATTATATTCATAAATATGGACACAAGTCAAAGTTGATGGCAGCAGCTGTGCGCAACAAGCAGGACTTATTGAGTCTTCTGGGGTATTGAAATACTCCCCCCGTGATGTCTGATTTAAAAGTGGATTCAATTTTTATTTTTTACGAAAGAAGCATAACGTCTTTTGCTGTCTATTGCTCCTTGAAATAGGGTTGACTATATCGTAGCACCATTGAAGGTTTTGCAGTCTCTCAAAGAGTCTGTCACTTCTCCTGATGAGAAGTACTCTTTTGTTAGAAGACTGTCCCCTCAGTCTGCTGCTAATTACACATTTAGTGATGAAGAGGTACGAACTTAGCTCCGAATGCCATGTCACTTATCCCTTTATAAGTTGGAATTTCAGATTTGGTACTGAAAAATAGGTTTGGTACCAGTATTAATAGGTTTCTTCCCACCGTTTGCAATGTATTGTGTTGATGTCCACTGGTCTTTTTTTCGATGACATGAATGGCACATCAAGAGCAACTTTAAACTGCATGGTGCTTGTCTTAATTTTAATCCATTGATTTAGAGCATGGTAGTGAGTCAGATTTTTTTGTCGGCTATTAACAGAACACAAGTGTCATTGCTGAGTGGCACTTCTGTTTGATTGATATGAATGATTGCATATTGACAAAAGCAATTGCTATTGTTTCTTGAGTATTTCATCCTTATGGAACAAATGGAAGTGCCAAGGTGCGCTCTATTTTACTCTTTTGGAGGAGATGGACCATCTATCATGTTCACTTAACCTTTTTCTTTTCCATTTTTTTAATGACCGGATCAGTTCACTATTTGAAGAATCAGGGATATCCTTGATATTATTTTGATAATTAACATGGAAAATAAACCCAAAAAAAAAAAATCTTATTTTATTTTCAGTGACTGTTAAATTTGTTTTATTTTAGATTTTATATCTAGTAGAGGACAAGTTCTCACTTTGTTGGCGTGGGGAATGTGTTTTCTTATTTATTAAGATTCGTTTGTTAGGATCATTGCATTACTGAACTGGAAACAGAACCTGAACAACTTTAGCTATCATTCCTTCATGACCTCTCTTTATGCCATCCCAATATCTATTTAGGCTTCCTTAAATTCCTCAATTATTACCTGAAGAACTGCAGAACTTCTGGGCAAATTTTGCATTCATCAATTTACTACTATGATCTTGAGGAAAAATGTGGAGCATTCTCAACCATTTTGTGTGTGCGCGGGTGGGTGGGTGGGTGGGTGGGTGGGTCGGTCGGTCGGTCGGTCGGTGGGTGAAGTGTGTAGCATTATTTATTTTCATGTTTTAGTTTTTGTGTGTGTGGTGTGGGTGGGTGGGTGGGTCGGTCGGTGGGTGGGTGAAGTGTGTAGCATTATTTATTTTCATGTTTTAGTTTTTGTGCGCGTGTATGTGCTAATCTAAGTTGGATTAATAAAAAGAAAAATGATCTATATATCATTGACATGAAATTAAGAACTGACAGATTGCTCTGAGATTTTAGTATTGGCCAACTTTGCCAAATAATAAAGTTTCTTTGCTAATTGATATCTATTTATATTCAGCTTGTTAAGTGGGACCAAATGAACCTTGCTTCAGCAATGGGGCCAGCAGCTGTGCAACTTCTTGCCGCTGGACTAGATAGCAATGCTGATCAAGCGAAGCGAGTGGAGGAGCTATTTGGCAAGATCTGGCCACCCCCAAATGTATGAATTGGATCCTGTTTCCTCACTTCTTTTTCGTATTCACTGAATAAACTAAACATAAAGGGCACTGCATGACTTCTTTTTTTCGTTTCTTCACTTTAATATCGAAACACTTTCCTCTGATGTAAATTAAATCCAGTTCCTGGAAAATATTTGTCATCAAAATTTCCTCTTCGTTTTTGTACTTGAATTCCTTTTGTTTCGTTTTTATTAAATTGCGATTTGGAGGCTTGCATTGGCATGCCTTAATTTGGAAAGATAAAAGTGATAATGTAACGAGTGCTAATACTTGAGAGAATCACCCTCCAAAAACTAATCATTGCAGTTGGGGGGTTCAAATCTTACACAAGACTCCTACTTCAAGATAATCCTTCTGGTGTGAAACTCATGACAGGTAAATGTTGAAAGAGAGTTATTTATGCACGACTTCTAGTCATGGGTGTCTCTTCCAGGAAATCAACTGATTTGAAATTTTAAATAAAAACAAATAGGAACATCAAGCAAGCCAATAAGCCATTGTGCTTAAATAATTAAAACATTGTCAATTAATATTAAATCTAGGGAATATTAAATGTAAGCATATCTTTTAACGAGAGAGTTCAAACGTTATATTAGTGATGTACTTGTTATGAGTGATGTACTTGTGAACGTATTACTTTCGCTGGTAATTAAAAAAGAATGTATCGCTTTGAGTGGGCTAGAGTGACTAAACGGGACATCTGTGTTCATGAGTTAGCCTGAGACAAGAGGTCATTATCAATCAATGGCGCCACCATTATCATATCCTTGGCTACGCAGTAAATACATATCTGCCACACCATACGCCTCTGAATGCATAACATTATGTGTCAGATCTGCTTCTGTCGCCTTCCAATATTATGGAATGTCCTGAGGATTGGGTATAAATAACAAAAGGATGAACTTCTGCCAACCTTTGTCTTAACCTTCAGAAACGCTTGGCTCATTATTGCACCCTCTAATTAATCTCTCATCCACATGTACATTGAATGGATCATTAATTATTATTATTATTTTTGCTTGTATGAGGGAGGCCATGAAGGGCAGCACGATTCTGTCATTTTAGGGCGTCAATTCCTCTCATTATTTTGGCCAGGAAAAGAACTTGATAAATTTTTATAGACAGCAAGTGCTTATGCTTTCCAAACTATCAGTGCTTTAATTTAGTTTCTTTTCATCAATAAAATTTTTTATGGGAATTTCTCCTATTTTCTATAATATAAAACGTATGGAACTGCTAAATTAGTAGATTATATCATTTACTCCTTTTATTCTTTTTACAAGGTAGAGAGGATTTTTTTTATCTTATTTATAAATCATTTCATTAAATTTTAAACATGAATGCACTACTATTTTACTCTTTATTTGTTATTATGTATGTTCTTTTGTTTTTTGGTTTTTGGAGAAGTGTATGTACTCTATTTATCTTCTTTTTTTTTTCCATAACAAACAACTATCATCTTTACCTTATTTCTATTTATAAGAAACATTTACAAGATGTCTTAAATTTTCTTAACTAGTTAGTTACCTATTTTATCCTCATTAATTACGTGTTTTAATATTCAATGTATCTATTATCTTATTTCTCAAAATATCATTCATTCATTTCCTTATTCTCTCTTATACTCTCTCTTCCTTATAAATAAGAGTATTTTTTAGGGGAAAAAACTTACATTTTTACATATTTATTGTTTTTAACTAATTTTAATTTACTTTTTTATCCACATTGATTCAGTCAAATATTTCTTATAAAAAAATAGATGAAATATTAAATATGATTTTTTTTTTTGATATTATCATCCAATATTGACGTTTTTTCTTAATTCTATTACTCATGGCATGCAAACTCAAATCAGATCGGTTGGTTCAACCAGAAAACAAGATAATCGACCAAGGAGTCAATCTAGTTAAGCATGTAGATTGGAGTCAAGTTGACCCAGTACCAAACCAACTCAGTTAACTCCCTTGTTTTGGGGGTTAACCTGGTTTTTTTTTTTTTTTTGAAAAGTTATTTCAAGCCAAAAACTCTTTTTTCTTAAGTTATTAATAATTATGAGTTTACTAATTAATAGATTGTAAGTAAAAACATTTTGTTATCATATATCTGTTTTGATATTTTGCTAGGATCAATGTATAGTATGTTTTTAATATGATACTATGATATCAATTTGTCAAAGGAATTGTTAAAAAAGTTGGAAAGAAATTGTTGGTATATGATTGTTTTGTTTATAATTCATGGTATTGAATTAATATTTAGTCTTTAGATAGTATGGTGAAAATTTAAGTTATTTTTAATTTTTTTATTTCTTACTGGTTTGATCCCGGATTGACTTTGATCTAACCAACTAACCCTTGACCCACTATCTTGACCAATCCAATTTTTAATATTTTGCTATTATTAGGTATCTAAACAACTGTCAGTTCGGTGTTCATAGCTTATCCTCCTAAAAAAATGTCTTTATAAATAAAATTAAAGGAATATATACATAATTAAATTATGTAACAATATGAATTTATGGGTTCTCACTCAGCGTTGCATCGCAGTAATGAGCATGTGCTCATTAATTGTAATGCAATAGTCTATCCAAAATATGATTATGGATGATTTAGATTTAAATTTTTAATATGCAATTTTTCAATAATAAATTTATCTTTTTAAATAAGTGTAAGTTATAAGATTATTTTTATTTTAAATTTTGTATCTATTAAAAAAGTAATTAAAATATGTAAAAATTAAATCCAATTTGGACCATCCAAAATCAATCTAAATGGTCCAAATTGTGATGAACACTCTATACTTATTATTGTGATAAGCATGTACTATGTACTCCGGATTTATTCAAGAACCAATTAGTGCTCATCACCCTAATGAGCTAAACTTATTAAATTTAGATCGTTTATATCTGATTTGAACAATCTAGATTTAAAATATTTAATTAATTATTTTTAAATACAAAACTATTTTTTGAAAAAATGATAGATCATTCCCATTTTATATTTTATACATATTAAATAATTATTTTAAATAAAAAATTCAAATCTAAAATAAAATATGAACAATTCAGATATGATGAATTTAATGTGCCCATAATTGAGCATAGTTCTCCTCCCTCCCTACATACACATGCTTGCAACCTTAAATAATTTAGGACGAAACCTAACCGAACTAACGGATGGCATGGATCTTGGCGTATAATTGAAACCGTAAAATATGAACACGCATGAAAGAACTCCAACCAGGGAGGGGAGTCTCCAGTTCCTCACGCATGACGAGGTGGCCTCAGTGTTCTTTGGTCTAAACGAACTTTGACTAATTCAATTGGACATCATTTTCCTTTGCTCCTTGGCTCTTCCATCCATCTCTCTCAAAATGTGTGCTGTCAGATCCTCTTTGGACTTTTGGCGTAAAAAACAAAAGATCCTCTTTGGACTTTCAGTCTCCTTTTCTTAACAACAAACAACAGGAAAGCTCAAACTGTAAAACAAAAATTTCAACCACAGGGACACCGATCCAACCCTCTCTTTTGAGTTTTGACCAGTGTTGTGTCCATCAAAAACTTTAAATAATTCTCTAAAAGTTTTAAGTCTTCAGTCGTCTGATTGTTTCCAAGTTTCGGTCAACGGGATTTCCTAGCTAATGACCCAGAAACTGAAGAGTTATCACGAACTGCTTCACATTTCATCACACGCGCGCGCGCACACAATGAAATGGCTGAATAGGCAACCCCGTAACTCTTAATTTTAAAGATAAACACGTATAACTCACGTGCTTAATATAAAAATTAGATAACTAATTTAAAAAGATTAAAAGAAATAATTTAATTAGTTAATTATAATAAACATATGTTGACTTTTCTAAATTACTTTATTTGATCATGGACAATAAAATTATATATTAGTGATAACTTTATAATCAATAAGGATATTTTAGAAAAATTAGTATAAATTTAGGAGACAAAGTAAATTAAGACCTTATATTTATAATTAAATTAAAATTTCAATTAATTTTAATGTTAAGGACCCGAGGTGGGATAACGTTTTCAAATTTGAGGGGGAGCCCATGTTATCCATTAATTTGGAAACAACTCCATCTTGCTTTGCTGTCCATGGCAATTTTTTAAAAATTATTGTTATAAACCCACGTCAGTTCTTTAGTATAAACATTAGATAACTAATTTATATATATAACATATTAGTTAATTAAGTTAGTTAATTGTAATAAATATGTATTGACTTTTTTAAACTACAATATTTAATCAAGTGAATTGAAACAACCCCTAGCTAAAAACTTTATTAATATGTAAATCAATGAAAATACTTTAGGAAAAAATTTAAATCCATGAAACAAAATGAATTTATGTTTCTTATCTAGGACCAAGTCTTATTTTTCAATTAACTCTTATATTAAAAATGAAAAGTAGTAGCTAATACATTGGGAGGGAAAAAAATCAGCAATTGTTCCCTTAATCCTTTTTATAAGATTCTATTAATTAAATTACGCGACTTTAAAAAAGAGTTAAAATTAGTTAAAAACAACAAATATGTAAAAATTAGATGTGTTTTTTTTTTCAAGTATATCCTTATTTAATGAAAAAGCAAATAAAATAGAACAATACTAGTGATGATATAAAGGATGAAAGAGAATGAAACGTGAACATGAAGAGAGAGAATATAAAATTAATTAGGAATAAAATTAATAAAACCATATTTAATGTTCAGACAATCTTCAGTAGAATCTTATAAAAAGGACTAAATCAATTTAAATTTTAAGATCTTATAAATAGAACTGGAGGGAGTAATAAAAAATACGCTTAGTCTATGAGTGCACTGTATAAGTTGTATGGAGTCTACAAAAAATAAATCATATTGTCTGTGATATTTCTAGATAATGTGTAAGAAATTTATATTAATATAACTATACATATAGTAATATCCTCTATTTAAGTTCGAAATAGAGATCAAATGTTAAATTAATAGAATTTCTTATTAGCTGAATTGCATGCTGGTGGCCACGTTTTTCATATATAAAAATAGTGACTCTGATTTGTTCAGATAATAAATCTTGCAAGCAATCTATAAGCCTGTTTGGTATGATAGGACGTTCTGGGGTTCAAAAGTAAGGTTATAAGTATGATAAGCAAGTTTGTAAACTTGAAAGCTTTTCTTCACAATTTTTAACCAATTTGACTTGTAGATCAAAATTTATTACTTATG